AGCCCTGGATTCAGGAGGACCTGAGTTCAAATCCAGACTCAGACACATAACACTTACTAGCTGTGTGACCCTGGGCAAGTCACTTAAACCCACTGCATAGCCCCCCCAAAAAAAAATTGGTTGGAAAACTAGAAAGCAGTATGGCAAAAACTAGACATAGATGAATATCTTACACCATTTACTAAGATAAGGTGAAAATGGATAAATGACCTAGATATAAAGAGAGATATTACAAAAAAATTAGAACATGGAACATATTATCAGATTCATGGAAAGGCTAACAATTTATAAATAAACAAGAGATAGAAAGCAAAGAGGTATAAAATGGATAATTTCAAATGCATCAAATTAAAAAGGGTTTGTGCAAATAAAACAAGTGTAGCCAAGGTCAGAAGGAAAACAGAAAATTAGTTCCTTCAATACTAAAAAGCTATGATCTTCTGAAACCCCACTTTAAAAATTAGAATTTTAGCAAGATTTGGAGCAACTACTTCAAAAAATAGGTCCTATGATGGTGCTGATATTTGCTTTTTTTCCCTTCATATTAATGCCTCCCTCTTAATATTAAAAAAACCAAACCCTATAGATCTAATGTTTTTCCTAAAGTATACAAACTGTAAATTTGACCCAGATAAATACTTGGTTCATAAAATAACCTACAAATGGCCATTATCAAAAAAGAACTCTTCTCATCCTTTAGCATTATATTCCTGAAGCTCTGCCTCACCTAAATCCAATTCATTTGCAAGTCAAGACATCACCCTCCTGAGGTCATTGGTTCTTTTCAAGAACAACAATATTGCTGAACTGAGAGGCTGAACTGAGAGGGGCACCTATGGCCTGAGGCCGCTTGTGGCCTTCTGGGTCCTTGGGTGAAGACCTTTGACTGAGTCCAAGTTTTACTGAACAAATCCTTTTATTAAGGGGATCTGTTCATTGAAATTTGGGTTCAGGCAAAGGGCAGCACTTGAGGATCTAGAGGGCCACATGTGACCTTGAGGCCACAGGTTCCCCACCCCTCCCTACATCATTCAACAGTGAACCCCCATAAAGGGTTGCCTCTGGTCTTTTCCTCATAGTAACCATAACCTGGAAGAAACTAAAGTCAGTAAAAAGTAAAAAAGAGATATTGTACCACAATGACAAAGATAACAAATTCAGGATATAACATGGGGTTATAAGGCAGCAAAAGTGTCTAGTTCCCTGCTTTTTTTTTTTGTTTGTTTGTTTGTTTAATCTACACTACTGGTCTTTGGGTGGATAATTATGTACTCTGCTCATCAAATTTGGGGCAAGGGTGTGCCATAACCTCTCTTGTTTCCAAGGTAACGGTTAGACAGCGAAACTGAATTATTTTTTAAACCTGGATTTGTTGTCAAGAGAAATAGCTAGAGGTGTGTGTAGTGTGTGTGCGTGTGTACCTGTATGTGTGCATTTAATAAAAACAACTGCAAGTTAAAATGTCAGTAGGTCTGTTATTCTTCTATCCTACCTTTCACCTAAGCGCTGATTTGACAGAATTATGGATTTCATTTTTAATTTGTTGAGTATCTGCAATTGTTACTGAGTGCTGATGTTTCACATCTGTAGCTTTCAATGAGATCATCATTATCACATGGCAAGTTCCTTGGCTCATTCTTGGACAAAGACTGACAATGATGCTTCTGTGGGAAACCAATCAGGTAGAAAAACAGGGCTGTAATGTTGCTTCCTACATTCATTTGGATTCTACGAAAGCAAGAAATTCCTCCATTTGGCCTTTATTCAAGATCACTTTAAGAAATGTGGTTTTTATAGTAATACATTTTAATGTTTTTGTATAGCTGGGATTTTTGATATTTGAGTTGATTTTGGTTTCAGATTAAAGGATATGATAGCTTCATTCATAAAATTTCCTAGAACAATTTTATTTTACAATTCACATATTGGAGCACTTAGAATAATAGTTGGTTTTAAACACTACTAAAATGACTCAAAGATGAGTAATAAGATGAAGGACAAAGGAGAAAGCTGGATCACTTTAAAACTGTATACAAGGTTCATGGATTTTTTCATGTAAAGATTGGAAAATCAAATTTATGTTATGTTTGGAAAAAGGTATATTGTAAGCATTTTGAGTTTCTCTTTCTTAGAGTTACCCAATAATATGTGATTAGCATGCCTGTCACACTTTGAATTTCTAAGGAAAGAAAAGTATCAATTTTCTTATAGCTAGTTTATCATCTTTAACCTGGCCTTAGCATAATGTCTAGATTAGAATATTGTGGGTATTTAATAAGTGCTTATTAACTTGATTTGACTTTATTGTAATAAATTGATTGGAAACATCAAAAATTTACAATTAATACATAATAGCAAATCAAAAGGAAAAAAGAGGTTTTTCATAAAATTAGAAAATAACCTCTAGTTTCCCAAGGTGGTGCCTTTTTGAAGTTTAAGAATTACAGTAGGAATCATGTATCTGGCTACAAACTATTATTGTCTTGAATTATGACAAGATCGTCTTTAATCTTGATGCCTCATTTCCTTCTGATCACCCCCATAAACACTTTTCACCTCCCAGTAAAGCTAAGTATTGGAATATGAGCCAAACCATATACACTGTCATTTATCCTACACAAAAATAGATACGGGGAACCTGGAGGGATATTTGCAAACTAAAGATCCCTTCTTTTGTTTGCCCAGGAGTAGGTTATTACCTCCTGAAATCAAATGTGCACATAAAACACAAAAAGAGCTACCTAGACATGGGTTTAATGATTTGGTGCCTCTTTAAATTACTGAGACTCTGTCGATTCTTTTTATTTATTCTGATGCTGTTTAATACAGGCAAAACACACTGATAAATCAGAAGCATAAGAAAGCAAAGCTTTTTACTTAAATTCTGTGCTTGGAATCAGGGGAGTTCTAGTGCAGAAATATAAGGAGCCCTCAGCAAAGTGACCCATTAAAAAAAAAGCAGCTCATTTAAAACAGGCATCATTTAATGGAGTGCTCATAAATTATGCTGCTATCACAATTTCTTACAGATGTTTGCTGCACTTAATAAATCTAAAAGTAATTACCACAGAGCTTACATAAGTTGCTTACCTTGTAATTATAATACATATTCAGGCATTACATAGAAGAGCCATTGGGGAAGCAAATTGCTAATGGATACCAAGAAATTTAAGTATACACAGTCAGCACTTCATAGTGGAAATGCACTGAACTTCAGAGTCCAGAGTTCTGGGTTAGAATTCTGGCTCTGATACTTACTTGTTATGGGAAAGTCTTGATTATAGTTAGGAAACTGGTAAACTTAAAAGCAGTATATAAAGGTGATTTTTTTACTTATTAATAATAAATACTGCTTATTTAAGGCAGATGAGTCCTTTCTTGGATTATATATTCTAATTCCTGATCCTCCTTGAAGATGTATGCCAGTCATTGGTGTAGGAAAGCAGGAAAAGAGAAGGAAGGCAAAGAAGGCAAAACTCAAACCACCTCGTGTTTCTGTTTTCTGTTTAGTAAATCTTACGGAACAATGAATGAAAAACAATATCTAAGCACAAAAACTAGACAGCTACGAATTTGTTGCACATAGATATAATTCAGTTTTAAAAAGATGTATTGTCAATGATTCTTGCAATAGTCAAGTCATTGATAGTAAACAGTTTTCACAATAAATTATCAGCAAATTCACAATGACCATTGTAATTAACTGCTTCTAATGACAATATGTGTATTGTTATATGAAACAATCATTGTTAGGGAATACATTGTTATGAACACTATATAAATCAACAAGCATTTATTAAGTACCTACTATGTTTCATTCATTCTACTAGGTGCTGGGGATACAAAGAGAAAAATAGTCGCTGCCCTCAAGGGCCTTACATTCTATCAGGGAGAAAAAAATATACACATATAAGTAGATACAAAATAAATACAAGGTACTATGGGCAGAAAAGCACTAGCATCTAGGAGGATTAGGAGAGGACTCATGTCTCAGTTGACATTTGACTTGAGCTTTGAAGGAACTTAAGAATTCTAAGAGACAGAAGAAGGAAAGAGTGCGTTCTAAGCATGAGGCATAGCCTGAGCAAAGCAATGAGAAAAATGGAATGTTCTCTGCAAGGATTACCAAGAAAACCAATTCAGCTGAATTATAGAATGCTTACAGTAATATATTAGCCTATGAAGGTAGTTTGGAATTAGGGAGTTTATGTTTGATCCTTGAATCACTAGAGTTCATTTAATAGATGAGCAATAATATCAGACCTGTTTGTTAGCAATCATCATCATCATCCACAACAAGCATTTATTAAGCCCTTACTGTGTGCTTAATGGTGGCAGCTAGGTGGCTCAGAGGATTGCGTGCTGGGCCTGGAGTCAGGAAGATCTGATTTTAAATCTGGCCTCAGGCATTTACTAGCTGTATGATCCTGAGCAAGTCACTTAACTTCTGTTTGCCTTGATCCACTGGAGAAGAAATGGCAACTACTCCAGTATCTTTGTCAAGAAAACTTTCTGTACAGTATTGGCAGGTTATGGTCACAGGGTCACAAAGAGCTGGGCATGATTGAACAACTGAACAACAAAAGTGTGCCAAGGCCTTGGGGACACAAAGAAAGGCAATGACATGGCTCCTACAGTCAAGGAGTTTACAACCTAATGGAAAAGACAGCAAGCAAATAGTCATGGACATAAAAGATACATGCAGTGTGGGCAAAACCATGGAGGATGGTTTGTAAATGGTATCAATCATAATATTTAGCATATTTTTGTACAAATACAGAATATCATTCAAAGCAAGACAAACTATCTACTACAATCTTTTAAGACTCGAATTGGTCTAACTTAGTTGGAATCATATTTTTATTATCACTGAACAATTAATCAGACAGTTTTATATGAAAAGCAGAATACAAATGAAATGGTTTATTTTGAGGGCTAAAAATAACCTATATAATATACAAATACTTATTATTAAAAAGTTTCTTTTTAAAAAGCCTTACCTTCTCACCAACTTCTCCTTTTCTTCCTTCAAAACCGTGCTCTCCCTGTTGTATAGAAATGTAGCACATGTAACAATACCGCTTCAATACTTGAAAAAATTAAATTCAATCTAATTAGATATCAACAGTTTCATGGGGGTGGGTGCTTTTTTTTCCCCAGATATAGACAGGAACCCTTCCAAACCTTAGTAGATAGCTTTCATGAATTGCTGGGGCCAGAAAATTAATCACCTGGTGGCCAATTTTGGATGATGAGCTTGTCCTAACTTGGCCAGCCTCATCTTCAGATGAGACTTAAAATAAATATGTCCTTAAGCTTACATTCCAAAAATTTCCAGCTTTGTAGGACATGGTATAGTCTTCAAAAGCTCAAGGTTGTCTGCACATCTTTATAAAGCACAGAAGCATGAATGAGTGGAGGATGGAATATACACATACTCACTCTCCCTCTCTCTGTTCCCCTCCTTCCCTCTCTCCTTCCTCTTTCTCTCTTTCTCTCTCTATCTAGATACATATAGAGATAAGCATGTGTGTATATGGCATGCATAAATGTTTTGGTAATATAGTTTTTTTTTAACAAATTAGTATTTTTAATTTACAGATATAATAAGTTCAGATATGACAGTGTCATTCAATTGAAGCACAATTAGGTTTTCTCATGAGAAAAGTTGGTAAGAGCAAAAGGAGAATCCATCCCATAGTAGAATTCTCTAGAGATTCCACACCAGCTCCATATTTGCTAGCTGTTGCCACCTTGATATTCCACTAGACATCATATTCTTCATGTCTAAGATGGAAATCTTCCCCTCAAAACTTGACTGTCCCTCATACCCACTCAAGTAGACTTTAATGTAACAAAATCTATACTATGTAATGGGGGTGATCCCTAGAGAAAGACAGGTAGTCTGGCTCTTTGATGAAGGATATGCACCTTGTTGAGATGATGTAGCAGCCCTCATCACTGGTGACCAAACAAAGACTGTATTGTGTATCCTTAATGCTTAGCCCAATGTACAGCATATGGTCAACACTTCATAAATGGTTGTTACTTCAGTAATAATAATATTATTATTTTACTTTTACATAGTACTTACTATGTATCAGACACTGTGATAAATATTTTACAATTATTATTTCATTTCATCCTCACAGCCACCCTGGGAAGTAGGTGCTATTATTACCCCCATTTTACAGAAAAAAAACTGAGGCAAAAAGGGGTTAAGGGACTTGCCCACATCACACAGCTAATATTGAATTGAATTAAAAGGTGAAAACTCTTTTTCTTTACCAAAACCACTGAGCATAATAACCATTCTATAATCCTACAAGATATTTATATTTGTGTGAAGGGCAGGGATAGCCTATAGGAAGAAGTTCAGTGCTAAAACACATAGTAGACAGTCAATAAATATCTGATGACAGAATCAACAAATAAAGGAAGAGAAAGAAAAACTTCTTCCTTTCCACTTTTTTCCCCCAAGATCTTTGAGAAGATGTTACTTGGTATCATGAAAATTGAAAGATGGTAAGAAATGTATTAAAAAAACAATCTGTTAGATCTACCCTTAAAAAGGACACACTGGTAGAAAGTGGGTAAAGGTTTAGCATTTTGTTTCAGGAGACAGAAATCTACTTTTTATTCCTGGAATACAGACTTTAACCTCACCACTTAATGTAAGCTGACATCTAAGCTACTTAATGCCTCCAGCACCTCAGCCACCCCAGTCAGCATGATGTAGCCACCAGAAACAGCTGCTGGAAAGTCCAAAGCTATTTCCCAGCAGATAAATCTACATGTCCCTTGGCTTGGAATTTGACTCTTGGCTACACCACTTGCTGTATCAATGAATGATTTCGTCAAGAAATACTGTGAGGAAATTCACAGCCTTCCCATTTTATGCTTGCCATTTCTGGGTTCTTCATACTCAGTCATGTCTAATGACAGATGTATTTGATTGGGGGAAAAAAAAAGTCATAACAGGAAGTAGCTAAGGACCTTTTCAAAATGACAACTTACAGCACTTCTGGCACATTAGTGAAGAGACCTGTGAAACTTATCTGGATCCCGGAAATTGTTCCCTTAGCTCTTGTGGACACGTCACACTCCATCAATAATGTTCTTCCCTGCCATGGTGTGGTTTATGCAATGGGATAGTAGCCGGTATAATGAGAAGTACCTTACCTATCTTTTTTTTTTCTCGGCTACCAGAATAAAGCCCTCAGAGAGCTTCTAGTAATTCAAGTCAGATATAATAATGCTTATTCCCCCCGAAACCTACATCATCCCTTAGGAAATAGCTAAATCTAGTTAAAAGACAGAGGTTCTCATAAAATAAAATATGGATAAGCAGCTTCAGTTATCCAGTTAATGCTGTAACCTTCCTCAACAATCATGGAGATGCAGCCTGGCAACTGCTCCTTCAGGTGCTACAGCCATAGGTACTAAAGACCCAGGAAAGAAAAATCTTACCACCAAAGGTCTTGGCATTGTCAAATGGTTCAACATCACAAACTGAGAGGTTCTTTTATCAGTGAAAATGACATTAAATGAGAAGTGTTACCATCTGTTTTGCTGCTGCACTCTAAGGACCACAAAACGTCTCCATTTGACTTGAAGCTGAATATTGCAAATCATTTGTCTGGCCTCTGTTAAAATGTGAGCTTCTTGAGAACAGGGACTGTATTACTTTTCTATTTGTTTTCCCAGTACTTAACGTAGAGCTTTACATATAGTAAGTGGCTAATAAATGCTTTTTTTATTCATTCAAAATCAAGATTACAAATCTCTTATTTCTTGGAGAATGTTCATGAAGGGGTTCATTTTCTATACCTTCTTTGAGATTTTTGGAATACTTTATTCATTTGGCATCATTGCACTGAGTTTGTTCTGATACAAATTTTCAGAATGGAAGCTGGTTTCAGATAATCAAATATAGGAACATGGTCAGGAAAATGATAGATTCAAACTTGAATTTAAGTCTCTGGTTGTTGGACTTCTGGGTTCATTAAAGGTATGGAGCAGTTCTAAAGCTAATAAATTTATCCCTATGGGACAACGAATTGTACCATTATGGTGTTCTACAAAAAGGAGCATTATTAAAAATCACTGATGGAAGAAGTGTTTAGGGTATGTCCTTTTGAGAGCCAGTCCTTTTAACATGTCTGTTGGAAAAGAAGATATGAAAGTGTGTGGGTTTCTACTGGGACTTTTGAAGAGATTCCATTATGTTAAATGTAGTTCAAAATAATATTATTCTAACTTTAAATGCTAATGATGGTTAAAAAAATAGAATATTAAAAATTATTTTTACCTTTTGACCAGGTGGTCCGGGGGCACCAAGTAAACCATCTTCACCCTGAAAAATAGCCACACAAGTGAACTATATACTTCACAAAAGACTAACATTTGATTTGTTGCTCATGATAGGGTCACATCAATATAATAAAAATGAGTATGGTACTTATCAACAGAACACTTTACAGAACTATACAAAATGACAAGAAAATTCACTTGGAAGAACAAAAGTTCTAGACACTCAAGGGAATTCATGTGAAATAAGTAGAAATTAAGGGACAACAGTTAACTTCCATACTTCAAATTATATTAAAAGCAGTAATCATCAAAACCAATTAGTAGTTGGAAATTTTTTTAAAAAAGTAAATCAGTGGAATAAACTAGATAAGTAAATAGTAAATAACTAAATATAGTAAATAACTAAACTAAATAAATAACTAAAAACCATAACCTAGTGATAGATAAACTAGAAAACATCAATTACTTGGGAAAGAACTTCCTATCTGACAGGAACTTTTGGCAAAACTAGAAAGAAGTTTGGAAAAATATTTAGGAAATTAAATTGATGTGTGTGTATATACATAATCACCATAAACAATTTCTCAATGCATAAATGGTTATTGGTATGAATAAACAATTGCAATTGTTCAAAAGAACGACTGCAAACTATTAACATTAATGTGGAATATTGCTCCAAATCACTAATAAGAAGAGAAACACAAATCAAAACAACCCTGAGATTTCACCTCATACCCAGCAAACAGACAAAGACGACAAAAGATGGAAATTTTCAAAGCAGAAAGACTGCCATGCTAAGTACACTGTGGGTAAGAGCTGTGAGATAGTCCAACCACTCTGGAAAATAATTTGAAATTATACTATAAAGGTAACTGAAATGTGCATACCCTTTGACACAGAGGCCTAAATGCTTGGCATAATGCCCCAAGGAGATCAAAGACAAATGAAAGTTCCCATATACCCCCAAATATTCATTGCAACATTTTTTTTGGTGGCAAAGAATTGAAAAATGAGTAGATACCCACTGATTGGAGAATGGTTAAACAGATCATGCTATGTTAATGCAGTGAACTATTACTGTGCCCTAACACATAACAAATGTGAAGAAATCAGAAAAAAAAGTAAGAAAAGTTTCTATGAACTGAACCAGAGTGAAGTAAGCAGAAACAGGAAAATAACATATAGGACTATAATAATTTAATGAAAGAACAATAAAGCAAAGTCGAATTTCATGTAATTTTTAATGATCAACCTTGGCCCCAAATAAGGATTGAGAAAATACATATTCCTCTCTTCATTGCAGAGGTGAGAACTATGGATAGATCTTCAAACATTGATAATGTACTAGACAGTTTGCTGAACTGGTTTTTTTCCTTCTTTTAAAGTTTTCATTACGGGTTCTTTGGGTAAGGGCATGAGAAGAGACACCTTCAGAAATGAATGTGATACAAAAACAAAAGGTATCAATTTTTAAAAGTCCCTCCAAAAAGGCAAAAAAAGAAGAGTAAGATTTCTAGTGAACAAAGGCATTAGGGCATTGAAAGTGAAGCTTAGAGTTTCTGAGCAGGATTCTGTTGAAATAAACCCTTTTTTTCAGGTAATACTCAAATCTCTGAGGCAATAGGGGACATTTGTATTTTAAAGGACACAAGTGTCTCAAGCCTACTGATGGTACTGTGACTGCCTTTAATTTCAGATGTCATATTGAATGTACATAGTCAAAAATAAACAATTTTGGAGAAATTTAAATAGAAAAAAATCTATGATTTCTTTCAATCCTTGTGCAAAAAGAGTTTTTAGAAGACACCTATCAGTCTCCATTTGCTGGAATTCTCTGATCTCTGACAACACAGTTTATAAACTTGGAAAGTGACTGGACCTATGGTTTTGTTGGTATAGGAAATGCATAGAGAAGGAACATCTTTTACCAGTGTGGATCAGCACCTCCTCTACCGTTTAAGATGTTAGGTACCTAGAGCAGTGGGCAGTCATTTGCTCAAAGTTATAGTCAGTATGCGCCAGAGGCAAAACTTGAACCCAGATCTTTCTGACATCAAGGCCAGATCTCTGTCTAGTATTCTGTGCTGCTGTTTGAAAATAGCAGAACATTTTCAGTTAAGTTTTAGAGAGCTGTAAGTTTCTAATAAGGGCAGCTAGGTGGCACAGTAGATAGAGTTCTGGTCCTGGAGTCAGGAAGACCTGCGTTCAAATCCAGCCTGAGACACTTGCTAGATGTGTGACCCTGGGTAAGGCACTTAATTGCTGTTTGCCTTGGTTTCCTCATCTGTAAAATGAGCCAGAGAAGGAAATGGCAAACCATTCCAGTATCTTTGCCATGAAAATACCGAATGGAGTGATGAAGAGTCAGGAACAACTGAACAACAACAGGTTTATGGTAACAATAATTTGCCTTGGCTTCTTGAGCTTTACCACAGTGCAATTCAACAAATGTCCATTAAGTATCTTCCACGTGCTCTGTTCTCAGCACCATAGCAGGTGCTGGGAATACAAAGAGAAAAAAGAGAACAGTCCCTACCCATAAGGAGCTTACAGGTCTAGGTAATATACAGAAACAACACATTTCAATGGTTCTAAATACACAAATATTTCTATAGGCTTATCGATCTATCAATACACTTATTAAGTACCTATTATGTGCCAGGCACAGTGTTGGACACTGGGCATACAGAGACAAAAAAAAGGTTTAAAAACTTACTTTCCTCAATTACTAGACTACAATATAAATTGAGAATGAGTAGAACTAGCTGCTCACTGATAAGTATGTTACCTTCTTATAATTAAGTTTTGAAGGAAGAATAAAATATAATCCACTTATCTATGTAGTAAGTATCATTATAAAGCCATTGCTATAATAGACCTGACAGAAGGGAATTCAATGCTGGTTTTCAGGTCTTTTCTAGTCTATCAGAAACTTGCATTTTCTGGCTTACTGGTTATAAGAACACTCCAAGTATCTGGTGCCAGGAAACATTCCCATGGAAATGGAGCTTCTCTTACTCATTGCAGAAGTATGTCCACTTGTCCGAAAAGGACAGCATTACTTTAATTGGCTGGTCAATTTAACGTTTATATCATATTACAAGTTGCACACAATGACAAGATGTATGTAACCCAATGATGTAAACTGATCCAGTGCCAAAAATACTTTTGGAAAAAAGTATTAAGACAAATATCATTATACCCATGTCATTTTTTACATATTTGCTCATTACGTGGACACCATGTATTCTAAGTACTGATGGCCACTGTCTTACTATGAGCCTAGGTCTACACAGGACTCATTCTATATATTCTGGTAGATATGACATTTCATTTTGTGTTCCCTGGCACTTAGAATACTGTTGTGCATACTGTGGGCCTTGCATAAATATTCTATCACTACTGAATCTCTGAAATGGTGCCATAAATTTGTTAACTGGGAACATTCTACTCTCCATAATCACAGAATGTGAGTTTTAGAAAGCAGCTTGGAGATCAATTAGGAACTGAGGCCAAAATGAGGACAGTGACTTTTCCAAGGTCATGCAGCAAGTGGAAGATCAGTTTCTAGAATTCAGGTTTCCTGGCCTCTCTGTCTTTCTAATGCCACTTTTATGATTATTACAAATTTAAAGTTATGCTTTCCTTTAATAGCAGTCTTTGAAATATTCTGACTAGAGATTGTCTAATACACAAATCCAAGTTCCATGGGGATGGTAAGGACCCCAATGGTTATTCTCATGGGACAAGTAACTGAATGTTCATAGTAAATGAAAAGTCTCTATGTCAATTTACAGGTGCAATATCTGGGGCTCTCAAAAAAATAAGGGCAGGGTCTCAGATCAATCACTTTCATAGGCATGTAGCCTAGACTACCATCTCATCACAGATTCACTTTTCAAGCACACTCATACAAAATTTCTCAGAAACAAGAGGCAAACGCATATACAAATCTGAAGCTATCTCCATTCTTAATAAACAAAGGCTTATTTAGATTATCCTTATCCATAACAACAAAGCAATTCTACCCAAAGGCAATAGTGTTAAGACCAGCCATATCTCTACCAGCATCAGTAAACATCCTTATTTCCCATATATCCTGTCTAAAGACCACATCTGCATACTGAAATAGCAGTGCGACACAGTTCTTTGGTTTCCCATGGTTCCACTAGTTTCTCTCATTTACCATGTTAACAATAATTGTAACAAAAATGTAGGTATTGGGGCAGCTAGCTGGTGCAGTGGATAGAGCACCGGCCCTGGATTCAGGAGGACCTGAGTTCAAATCCAGACAGGACACATAACAATTATTAGCTGTGTGACCCTGAGCAAGTCACTTAACCCCATTGCCTAAAATAACCAAAAAAAAAATTTAGGTATTCAAGATCTGGTCTCAAAAAGCTGTTTATTTCCTCCTAGTCATTTTATCTCTAATATGGGTAAGCTATCATCAGGTGAGTGCCGTTGTGTTGTGATTGATCTGAGACCCTGGCCTAGTGGTCAAAGGGATAGCTTTCAGGGGTGGAGAACCTGCAGCCTCAAGGCCATAGCCCTCTAGGTCCTCTAGTGCAGCCCTTTGACTGAATCCAAACTTCACAGAACAAATCCACCGCTGCACATTGCTGATTAAGAAAAATAACTGCAATCGAAGCATACTATTTGCTCTTTTTTTCCCCTTCTGTTTTCTTGTTTCTTCTTTCTTGTGGTTCCTCCTATTGGTTTTAAAGACCCTGAGGGTCTTCCCCTCCCAGTTTGATTTTTTTTTTTTATTAAAGGGGCCATCCCTTGACTCATTTCTTAAAGAGGCCTATTCACTGAATGGGCATTGCCTCACTCAAAGTGAGAACCTAAAAAGACCTTAGCTTAAAAGGGCCAAGGTCTCCCACTGCATCCTGGGCCAGCTCCAGTCATCCTGATTGATATCTGGCCACTGGACCCAGATGGCTCTGGAGGAGAAAGTGAGGCTGGTAACTTTACACAGCCTTCCCTCACTCAAATCAAAGTCAATTGGGCATCATGTCATCATCTCCCTGATGTCATGAT